CACTTTCAAACTAAGGATCTAGGCAGATTGAAGTACTTTCTAGGTATTGAGGTTGCTCAATCTAGCTCAGGTATTGTTATTTCTCAAAGGAAATATGTGTTAGACATTATTGAGAAAACAGGGATGACAGGTTGCAGACCTGTTGACACGCCGATGGATCCGAATTCTAAACTTCTGCCTGGACAGGGGGAGCCGCTTAGCGATCCTGCAAGCTATAGGCGGCTGGTTGGTAAATTAAATTATCTCACAGTGACTAGGCCCGACATTTCTTATCCTGTGAGTGTTGTAAGTCAGTTTATGAATTCTCCCTGTGATAGTCATTGGGATGCAGTTGTCCGCATTATCCGGTATATAAAATCGGCTCCAGGTAAAGGATTACTGTTTGAGGATCTAGGTCATGAGCAGATCGTTGGGTACTCGGATGCTGATTGGGCAGAATCACCTTCTGATAGACGTTCTACGTCTGGATATTGTGTTTTAGTAGGAGGAAATTTGGTGTCCTGGAAAAGTAAGAAACAGAATGTAGTTGCTCGGTCTAGTGCAGAAGCAGAATACCGAGCAATGGCTATGGCAACATGTGAACTAGTCTGGACCAAACAATTGCTCAAGGAGTTGAAATTTGGTGAAATCAGTCGGATGGAACTTGTGTGCGATAATCAAGCTGCACTTCATATTGCATCAAATCCGGTGTTTCATGAGAGAACTAAACACATTGAGATTGATTGTCACTTCGTCAGAGAAAAGATACTCTCAGGAGATATTACTACGAAGTTTGTGAGATCGAATGATCAACTTGCAGATATTTTCACCAAGTCCCTCACTAGTCCTCGCATTGATTATATATGTAACAAGCTCGGTACATATGATTTATATGCTCCGACTTGAGGGGGAGTGTTAGAAATAGCTATGTAATTGTCCCACATTGGAATAGGAGTAGTATCCCCTTTGTATAGAGTAGCTATAAATAGCACCTCTTGTATTGCATCACATACAATATATCAATATATCATATTTTCTCCCGTGCCTTCTCACAGTTATAACTGGGCAATAATCAAGATGGTATTACTAATCTCGTGCAACATCTCTTTCAACACTTCCAGACTAAGAATCTGGGTAGATAAAAAATATTCTTTAGGTATTAAGGTTGCTCAGTCTAGTTCAGATATTGTTATTTCACAAAGGAAATATGTTTTTGTCATTCTTGAGAATGATGGATTGCAGACTCGTTAACACTCCAATGGATCCGAATGCTAAGCTTCTGCCAGGACAATGGAAGCCTCTTAGCAATCCTGCAAAATATAGACGGCTGGTTGGCAAATTGAATTACCTCAAGATATAGGCGGCTGGTTGGCAAATTGAATTACCTCACAGTGACTAGACCTGACATTTCCTTTCCTGTGAGTGTGGTAAGTCACTTAAAGGACTCTCCTTGTGATAGTCATTGGGATGCAGTTGTCCGCATTCTTCGGTATACAAAATCAGCTCCAGGCAAAGGACTACTATTAGAGGATAGGGGCCATGAGCAAATTATTTGATACACAGATGCTAATCGGGCAAGATTACCTTTTGATAGATGTTCTACGTCTGGATATTGTGTTTTAGTATGAAGTAATTTGGTCTCTTGAAAAAGCAAAAAGCAGAATGTGGTTGCTCGATCTAGTGCAGAAGCAAAATATCGAGCAGTGGCTATCGCAAAATGTGTAGTTTGGATCAAGCAGTTGCTCAGAGAATTAAAAGTTGGAGAAATCTGTCAGATAGAACTTATGTGTGATAATCAAGTTGACATTCATATTGCATCAAATCCAATGTTCCATGAGAAGACCAAACACATTGAGATTGATTGTCACTTCATCAGAGAGAACATACTCTCAGGAGTTATTGTTACAAAGTTTGTGAAGTCTAATGATCAGCTTACAAATATATTTGGAAAAATGACAGTGTATAGTCACTCTTAAAATAATAGCCAAAAAAATGTAAATTTTTTATATATATACATTCTGTAGGTTATATACAAAAACTATACAAATTTTAAACACTTTTTCGGCTACCAAATATAAATAGTTTCTGACGCGGGCTAAAACTGATAATACCCCCAAATATTTTCACTCAGTCCCTCACTGATCCTCATATTAGTTACATATATAACAAGCTCGGTACATATGATTTATATGCACCGGCTTGAGGGGGAGTGTTAGAGAGCTAGTATATAGTAGTATGTATAATGTCCCACATTGGTAGAGAAGGGTTTAGTACTGTGTAAACACCCTATGTAAATAGGGCTAATGTAAGACACAAATGTTTACAAGAAATTCTTTCTTCTCATGTCTTAAACTCTCACACAAGCTTTAGGGGTTTTTGCTTTGTAGGTAAATATTTTCTCCCTGGTAATGAGATCTTACTTACCCAAAAAAAGAATTAATAATTAATAATAATTATAATAATAATGATGATAATAATTTTTTTTAAAAATGCACAAAGCAAAGGGAGGAAAAGAAGATGATCCGGTGGTCTCTATAGGCACTATGAAAGTCAAGTCTTTTAATCTAAATATGATAAGCTGATAAGATGGTCTCTGGACCACTTTGGAGGCACTTTGAATGTTTGATTTTAAAATGACGTTTTACAGCGTACCTTCATCATCAAATTTATCCCACGCTCCATCCCAGTCAGCTGCCCCCTCTTGGATGCCCGGTTGCCAACCTTTACAATTATTACTAATATATCAGAAAGTATTAAAAAATAAGCAATGAAAATCAGAGAAGCTTAGGCAAAAAAAAATACAAGAATCATCAAAATGGCATGTTATCCAAGGGGCGGAGCTACGTACTAAATTTAGGTGCTTCAGCACCCATTAAACTTTACACAACATAGGTATAGTTATATAAGAAATTTGAGGCATCTGATATAAAAGGAAAAGAAAGCACCTACCAACCAAAAAATTAAGTAGTTACGACACATCAAGAAAAATTAAGCACCCACGAACATAAAATCCTGGATCCGTCACTGATGTTATCCCATTTTCCCACCAAGGTACAGACCTTTAGATGAACACACACAGCTCTTCGACATCAGAATTAGTCCCAACTCATGATCTAGATGCACATGATTTAAATATAAAGGTATAGGTCTCTTTAGAGATATTGAAATATATAAATACTCCTTTTAACTTGTATACATGCCACATATTACATTCTCATACTATCAACAGGTTTTTATTTTTATAATCAACAGGGTAGAAAACTATAAAACTGGAAGAAATCCTAATGCAGCCAGCAAGAAGTTAATAATGATACCCCCAATTAAGTACTACACTGAACTTGGGTGCCAAAAGGAAGGCTTCGGCTTGAGGCTGAAGCCAACAAAAGTAAAACATAAATGGCACTTTAAAGAACAACTAAACAGCCGGGTAGAACCCAAATTTCTCGCGAATACCAATAACTCAAATGGGATCAATTCAGAACCAAAAATAACAGGGAATGCAGGAAACAAATTTTCGACAATGTTTTTAATCTGGATTTTATGGTATCAAGAATAAGAACATATAAAATAGCTCAATAAAAGCACATATAATTGCAAGAACTACAAAAATACTAGCGCAAGTACCAAATGGAAGCTCAAGCAGAGTAGTTGGTTTGGCCCGTAGCCCATAAGTTTTGCACCGTTCGTTCAATGCTTTTACTAGCCCCTCGAGGTCTGCCTGAATCTGATTAGCACGGTCCTACAAAAGCCAGAGTTTAAATCTGAAATGTTCTAGCTATCTCCAGCAAATCTATTAGTGGTAAAATATAGCTACCTGGATACCATCAGTTTTGCCATCTTGATCCATTTTGACAATCGTTCTATAAAGCTCCATTTTTTTCTCCTACAAAAGGTTCAGCAGAACACAATATCACAAGAAAAGCTCTGCCAGATTGTACAATTCACTAGACGCTAGTAGAGCAGAAGAGTTAGTATCAGTGAATTGGGTTAGGAAGAGCCACAGAAATACCTGAATATCCCGAAATGTGGCCTCCTCAATTGTCAACTTAGAAGCAACATCTCCAGTCTGCTTGTATTTCTCTTCATATTTTTTAGCCAGTAATTCGACCTGTAAAATGGTCAACTTTTATTAGTTAACAAAAAATTGGTCGTGCGCTCAAATTTGTTGTGTTCAAAATAAGTTTTACCTCTTTTTTGTCAGCAGAAGTTCTTTCGGTGATCTCATTCAGTCTATTATCGCATCGGCTTTTGTATAGAATCTGATGTAAAAGGCCAAAGAAAAGCAGACAGTTTTAGTGATGTGCTTTCAACTTCAGCTATCCATAGCTGAACACGGCAGCAAGGAAACCCATCGATCAGTTAATAGAAATTCATGGCTTCAGGAAGAACATCACAAAACCAAGGGTATAAATAAATGTATGACATGATACCCTAGAGCATATAAAGATATAATCACTAATTATTCAGAACTTGGTAAGCCATAGCCATAAGAAAAAAAAATTAATTCACGTGGCCTGAATGAAATGGAACACCTTTAAGCTGTTGTATGAAATATGAATAATAAAAGACACTAAATAGTAAGTGAATTTCAGACTCAAAAGTCAATAGATTAGTCAAGGAGCCAAGTAGAAATAGTGGAACTGTGACCTGCACTCTTAATCTCAGCTGAATCTTATCATCCAAGATCCCGCTGCATTTTGTGGCTATGGGTCATAATTCTATACTCGTCCAGATCTAGAGACCCATAACTACTTAGTATTTGAAGGTTCCTGCTGTTAGCATGGTGAACCAAAATAGTGCAGCAGTGAAAACCTCAGGAAAAAGAAATAGCTAGTCAAGGTGTGCGCAAGCATTAACCTCTTGTTTGTGCTAATCTTAGTGCAAACTTTACCAAGAATCCAAGCGGACATGCAAAGTCATCAAAAAGATTGAAACTGACTTATTACTAGGATGGACGAAATCGGTTTCCATGTAGCTGCTTGTCTGGCACTATTTGGTCACTAATGAGATAACAAGTCAAACAAACTAAACACAATCAGTAGTACACATAGGCAGGAAATTCTACCCTGGGAATAACACCTAATATGTCCCCCAAGGGCATGGCGGGACCAATTTCAGGATTTATTTCCCAGCTTAGAAACACTGAGAGATCTATTTTTCTATTCTTTTCTTTTTTTAATAAAGTAAACATTGAGAGATATCTGAATAAAACCGAGAGAACTTTAGATACATAATGATCAAGATACTCACCAATTCTTGCATCTTTGCATGGTAGAACTGAATTTTTTCTTTGGCGTCTAAAATTTCCTTCTCCAGTTCCATGACCTGTGATTGGCATTATGGCATAAGAGATAAAGGAATAACCGTCAATTACTATTGGTTATTAGGAGTAATCACCAATAAATCAAGCTTGAACTGACAAAAGAACTTAAGCATCAAGTTAGATCAACGTTTTTTAAATCAAATACGAAGATTCAGCATTGTTCGTTAACAGCACCAACTTTAACTCGTAAAGAACAAAATTTTATTACCAATGGCTTCAAAGCATCGAAGTAGCATTTGCAATTCCACAAAGTCCAGATATTATGAGCACGTGAGAAATATCCAAAAATTTACTGCTTATGAAATTATGACGGACCAGACACCATGTCAGTAGCATATATATTTCACAATCTGAAGCAAACATAATGCTTTGCTCCGCAAGGTCACAGCATTGTTTCTATTCTTCAGTTCCTAAACAGAATTACTCGCTTGCCTTTTCATACATCAGATCCAAAATAAAGTAAATACAACAAATGCCGTAACAAAACACGGAAGAGACAGACAGTCTCTTGGAAGATTTACCCTGTGGTATATTACACACGTCAACAAGTAGACATAAGATATGAGATTTGACAAAATGACCACCACTCTAGTACCTAGTGAAAAAGATCCAATCCCAAATACCAGTGTTTCTCTCACTGGTTGTTCATAATTCAGGAAGCAATTATAGAAAAGAAAAAGAAAAAAAAAAGCAGAAAGGGGGAATTGAGCCAAGTAAAGGAGACTGGAAAAAACATTTGAAAGAACATTTATAGCCGACATATAGCCGACCTTCTTCTCTGCATCAGTTGCTTCCTGGAACTTCGAGTTCAATGAATCCTGTTCCTCTGTGCTAAGTTGGTCAACCAGATGCTTCTCCAATACTGGAACTTTCGCCTTCTGTTTACTAGGCTGCACAGTTTCATCAGGCTGGGGAATGGGAACTGGACGTGGAGGCTTCCCCGGAGCACCAGAAGCCACTTGGTGTGCACCCCTTGGCCCCTGTGTTTGCTGGAAACCTAGAGAGGAAGAATGACGAGATTAACTGAATAGTTGGAATTCACAAGTGAGATACTCAATATAGATACAACAAAAAACCCAGTGTAATCCCACAGAAGGGCGCTGAGGAAAGTAGTGTGTACACAGACCTTACCCCTACCTTATAAAGGTAGAGAGGCTGTTTCCAATAGACCCTCCGCTCAAACGAAAAAGAAGCCGTAGCAATAAGCAGTAACAACAACAAGATACAAAGATACCTGAGCGAAAGAGACAACACGAAGTAATATAAATCTAAGAATCAGAAAATACGAGAATATAGGCCAGCAGGAGCGAAATCTGAGAATACAAGAATAATACTACTAGTATGAAAAAGAAATACACTTGACTCCCTACTAAACATCTACCCTAATTCTCGACCTTCACGCCCTCCTATCAAGAGTCATGTCCTCGGTAAGCTGGAACTACACCATGTCCTGTCTACCGTCTACGGTCTACCCAATACTTCTTTAACCTACCTCTATCTCTGCTCAGACCCACCAATGTCAACCTCTCACACCTCCTCACTGGGGCATATGTGTCTCTCCTTTTCACATGCCCGAACCTCTTAGCCTCACTTTTTTGCATCTTTTCCTCTAGGGGAGTCACTCTCACCTTGTCTCGAATATTTTCATTCCTAATCTTATCTCTCCTGGTATGCCCACACATCCATCTTAACATTCTCATTTCTGCTTCTTTTATTTTCTGGATATGGGATTTCTTGACTGGCCATCGCTCAGCTCCATACAACATTGTCGGCCTAACCACCACTCTGTCGAACTTACCTGTGAGAATGCACAGGAGAAAAATCTTATTCACTAATTAATTGACAATGATACAATGAGCCCTATATATACAATACACGTCCTACTCCTAATACATATGGGATTAGGGTTATTTACTACTATTTATACAATGAAACTAACACTCCCCCCTCAAGCTGTTGCATATAAATCATATGTACCGAGCTTGTTACATATATAACTAATACGAGGACCAGTGAGGGACNGTGCTTCAACTTACTAATAGCATCCTAATCATTGCCGGTAATAACAATATCGTCAACATAAACGACCAGATAAATACAGAGATTTGAAGCAGAATGTCGACAAAATACAGAGTGATCAGCTTCACTACGAGTCATGCCAAACTCCTGAATAACTGTGCTGAACTTACCAAACCAGGCTCGAGGAGACGGCTTTAGACCATAGAGGGACCGATGCAACCGACATACAAGGCCACTAGACTCCCCCTGAGCAACAAAACCAGGTGATTGCTCCATATAAACCTCATCCTCAAGGTCACCGTGAAGAAAAGCAATCTTAATGTCCAATTGATAGAGAGGCCAATGGCGAACAGCAGCTATGGATAGAAAAATGCGGACTGATGCAATTTTAGCCACGGGAGAGAAAGTATCACTGTAATCGAGTCCAAATATCTGAGTATATCCGTTGGCAACAAGACGAGCCTTAAGTCGATCAACCTGGCCATCTGGACCAACTTTGACTGCATACACCCAACGACAACCAACAGTCGATTTACCCGAAGGAAGAGGAACAAGCTCCCAAGTACTACTCGTATGTAAAGCAGACATCTCGTCAATCATAGTCTGTCGCCATCCGAGATGAGACAGTGCTTCACCTGTAGACTTAGGGATGGAAACAGAGGACAAAGATGACACAAATGCACAATGGGATGATGAGAGACGATGGTAACTTAAACCGATATAATGAGGATTAGGATTAAGTGTGGACCGTACACCTTTTCGTAGTGCAATCGGTTGATTAAGAGGAGACAAGTCTGAAGTATTAGCAGGGTCAGGTGCAGGACGTGAATCAGCTGGGCCTGATGCTGGGGGTGGACGACGATGATAAGTCAGGAGTGGTGGAGTTGTAGAAGGTTGAACTAGACTAGGCGGTGGCACTGGAGCTATAGTTGGTGGCACTGGACTAGGTGGTGGCACTGGAGCTATAGTTAGTGGAACTGGACTAGGTGGTGGCACTGGACTCGGTGGTGACACCGGAGCTATAGGTGGTGGAGCTGTAACTGGAACTGTAGGTGGTGGAGCTGTAACTGGAACTGTAGGCGGTGGAGCTATGGAGGAACATGAATGGGAGATAGGGACTGAATCTCCAAAAGAAAGAACGGGTAGCACCTCAGAAATATATAAGCGATTAACTGGACCTGTGAAGTATGATTGGGTTTCAAAGAAGGTAACATCAGAAGACATAAGAAATCGCTGAAGGTCAGAAGAATAACATCGATATCCCTTTTGCGTTCTCGAGTAACCCAGAAATATGCACTTAAGAGCACGAGGAGCTAACTTATCTTTTCCTGGAGTAAAGTCATGCACAAAGCACGTACTCCCAAAGACACGGGGTGGAAGAAAGAACAAAGATAAGTGGGAAAATAGGACAGAGAATGGAACTTGATTTTGGATACCTGAAGATGGCATACGATTAATAAGGTAACAAGATGTAAGAACTGCCCAAAAACGCAGCGGAACATAAGATTGTATGAGTAGGGTACGAGCAGTTTCAATAAGATGTCTATTCTTTCTTTCAGCTACCCCATTTTGTTGGGATGTGTACGGACAAGACGTTTGATGAATAATCCCATAGGAGTTCATAAACTGCTGAAATGGGGAAGACAAATACTCTAGGGCATTATCACTACGAAATGTGCGGATAGAAACCCCAAATTGATTTTGAATTTCAGCGTGAAAGGTCTGGAAAATAGAAAACAACTCAGATCGATTTTTCATCAAAAATGTCCAAGTGCACCTGGAATAATCATCAATGAAGCTAACAAAGTAGCGGAATCCTAAGGTAGAACTAACCCGACTAGGACCCAAGACATCTGGATGGACTAAAGTAAAGGGTGACTCTGCTCGATTATCAAGACGCCGCGGGTAATGGGAGCGGGTATGCTTACCGAGCTGACACGACTCACACTCTAGAGTGGACAAGTGAGATAAGCCAAGTACCATTTTCTAAAGTTTTGACAAACTGGGATGTCTTAACCGTTTATGTAATAAATCTGGTGAATCAGTAACGGGACAAGTTATTGGAGGAACACAAGGTGCGAGTCCATGTGATTTTGCAAGGATAAGGTAATATAGTCCATCTGTTTCACGTCCGGTACCAATGATCCGCCCTGTACTGCGTTCCTGTATAAAAACAAGGTCATCAAGAAATAAAACAGCAGATTTAAGTGATTTGGCTAAGCGACTAAGGGCTATGAGATTAAAAGGACTACCAGGAACATAAAGGACTGAGTCTAAAGGTAAGGAAGGAAGCGGACTTGCTTGACCTATTGCAGTTGTCATGGCTTGAGACCCATTGGCCATTGTGACTGTTGGAAGAGATTGAGAATATGAAATACTAGTGAAAAGAGATTTGTTACCAAAAATATGATCAGATGCACCTGAATTAATGACCCAAGACTCGAAAGGTGAAGATTGGGAGACACAAGTCATGCTACTATTTGTTGGAACAACGGAGGCTAATCCTGAAGTTGTCTGTTTACGTGCTTTGTGCTGAAGGAACTCAATATAATCCGGTAAAGAAACCATCTGGATTGGATTTAATGCATTCGATCCAACGAATTGTGAGTCTAAGGCTTCTAATAAGAATGACATTATAATGTTCACGCCGGAAAAGGTCAGAAAATTGTTTGGAAATCACTGTTTCACTGTTATTGTTCACCGGAAACACTGTAGCTCGCCGGAAAATAAAAAAGTCGTTGGAATCTGATGTAAACTTGATGGGTAGGCTCGGAAAAGCAAGACGATTACTCTGTCCAAAAGAAACTTTCTCCAAAATCTGGCCGGAAACACTGTAGCTCGCCGGAAAATTCCAAAGTTGTAGGAATTTGTCAGGGATAGCAATGGTCGACTCGGAATTGCTGTGCGAGTGACCTTTCCTGAAGGAAGTTCGTCCGAAAATGGCGGGAAGGGGTCCCACGCGCCCGGCGCGTGCACAGATCTCGCTGGAAAATCTTGAGTTTGCCCGGCGCGTGAGGGCGCATGGCAATGAGTTTTCCGGTGGGTTTTTTGGGATTTGGTCGCTGGGCTACGGCGGACCTTGTGGTGGTGTTGGTTTGTTCACAACACCGATAAATAATGACTTTGACGCAAACAGTCACTTAGGTCACCGGAAAATTACACGGTGACGACTGATTTCTTCCCGGATGTCGTTGGAATGACGCACAACGATTATTATCTCACCAATGCTCTGATACCATGTGAGAATGCACGGGAGAAAAACTTATTGACTAATTAGTTGACAATGATACAGTGAGCCCTATACATACAATACATGTCTTACTCCTAATACATAGGGGATTAGGGTTATTTACTACTATTAATACAATGAAACTAACATTACCTTTTAAGTCTTGGCGGCACATTCTTATCTTCACAAGAAATACCAAATGCCTTATTGATTGACATACTAGTTATCCCACTCTTGTAATTCCTTTAAATTGTAATATTAATTTTTCACCATATAAATGAGTCCGTGAAAATAGTAACTAAGATTTAGCTTCCTTCTCGAACTCAATAACATAGAAAGCGATCTGAAATTCTTACCCCTCTTATAGAATATCACCAGTTTCTATAAAAAGAAATAATCCATCTACCACATTTATCAACTATATTCTCTTTAAAAAATGTAGAGCATTGCTCTAGCACAAATAAAAAATTTCATTGTTAATTTCTGCTTGATTCTATCCACATGCTATGGTATACTAACAAAAAATACAAATACATCTGTGCCGATCATGTACTTGAATAAGTGGAAAATAAAATCTTATATTTTCGCATTGTTCAATGGAAGGTCTTATATTAACAAATCTAAAATTCTAAACCACAACTATGATATTTTTTATAAGCCTAAACCACACTTGGAGATATTAACCGTTATTAGATCAAAGAAGAAAAAGCTTTTTTGAAACTTCAGAAAAAATATTTAGCAACCCATCT